CTTATAAATTGTTACAATAAAGTAATAAGTTAGAAAAATGTTAATAATTATCATTGATTGCACAATAATTGGTTCTGTAAAGGTTTTTTTTTTGCCAACCTTAGGGTAATCAATAAACACGTGAGTCAGTTCTACTGCCTTATTTATTAGCTAATTTACAGTGTTTGAATTTCAAGTAATCATTAGCCACAGCTCAATATCTGTATCTGACCATAGATTATATTGCGGTCCACTTTATTAGATGCATATTTCAGATATACCGGAACTTGTGCCAGGATATGTACATGTATCTAGCATTCGTACCAATTATTTACATAAAACAGACCATTATTATTATTATAGCGCCATCATATACCACATCGGTTTACAACTATGGAAAGGAAATATTTAGATTTGTAGAATGCCCAGCTCAAACAATCTGTGAGGATTAAAGGGAGATGGATACATAATTACTGTTACCACGTCTCTAACCATCCAAGATATAGGTTCGGTTCTAATAGCCTTGACCATGAAGACATGGAAACCAGTCGCCTTGAACTTGTACATGTGTGCTTCAGTTGTCTGGTTAAGTAGAGAATGGAGTATGTGTCAATAAAAAACAGTCCCCTAACATAAACAGACATCTAGACAAGCATCAGATAATATTCGGCACATTCTGAAATTCAGAAAATATTCCTCATCTATCAAAAATTTGTATCATTTTCTGAAATGTGAAAGACTAATTTGTAAAATACCAATACACAGCCGCGTGTACATTTTCTCACAACAACTGAAAGGACTGAGAAATAATAAACTGCTTGTCCCTCCTTTAGTATGGGGAAGGTTTAATGCATTTAAGACTGTATTATGCCGAAAAATAATTAATTTTCTAGGAGGGAAAAAAAGGCTGAAAATGTAAAACCCTTCGCACAGTGTATTGGTTTTCTAATGTAATTTCCCTAAAGGTCAGCCATTTGTATCTATAGTAATTCTGTCTTTAGGATTTGCTCTAACAGGGGGAGGTGGTAGCCTTGTATCATGTTTCAAGTTTGTCTGTTGACAGGTTGAAAAATAGGAAATCACACCAAACTGGCCTTTCTGGGCATTGAACTGTAATGAATTGCTGCAGGAGACTATCCACAAACCGCCAATCCTGTCCCCTGTCATCTCTCCGTGAACCTGAGACCTGCTTCCAAACGCCATGGGACACAATGAAATTGGCTTTTTTTGTAGGCCTTGCAGGGGCTGTGGGGAATCCGGCCACTGCGCCTGCCTAGATAGGCTACCATCATTTGTATTAGTTAAGTGTCTATTCAGTATCGTCTCCATCAGTCAGCACATTGCGACTCCTGCCAAGGATAGTGGCAGCTAAATCTTGCTTCCTCTTGCGTCGCACAGTTTTTAACATTTTTTATTTTTTTTAAACAAATGAAAAAATAAATAGCGAACTCAGAATGTAAGCTTTGCCATTATCGGCACAAAAACAGACTTTAACATCCCAATTCTGCCCAGAATATACTGATAGGGTTTTTAAAAATACATAAACATCTTCTAACGGGAGATTTATATTGCTAGATAAAACCACGGAAGTACCATTACCTATCGTTCCAAGATTTTAATACTGTCTATCTATAAAGCGCCTATCGCGTCTCATTTGAAATAATGTATTATTAAAGAAAATGATTACTGAACCATGACACAGAATTTTTTTTCGAGATATTTACTACAGATCACACCTAAATTAACTCAGACTGATACATTTTCATTCTTTTGTGCCAGAGATCAATGCTCGGCAAATACAGGAGGATAAAACATGATTCTATTAAACTGTGCCTTTGAACCTAGCAAAGGATCAATTCAATTCTGTAGGTGATTTGAAGAAAATGAACATATTTTGTAAAGGAAGTGAATGCTATTTGAATATAGTGCATTTCATGAAAGCAGAAATTGGATGTAGTGTCAATAGGGTATTTTTACAATCCCGGGTTGCATGGAACTTGAATGGAGAGTACATACAATGTCAAACAAAGAGGACACGGGATTCAATCACTAAACAGCAAGATTTATTCACTAAACACTGAAATGAAGAGAATTGAAAATAATTATGTCCGTAAGAGCTTGTTGTCCACAACATTCGGAGTGCTGAAGGTTGCCTACGTACTCATGTAGTCTGCCATGTAAAAATAGGAGTGAAAAAAATAACCCAGGAATGAAAAATACTGGAGTCAAGAAGTAGAACGCTCGGTGTCCAATAGCCCTTGTGTAGCCAAAAATATGATTGGATAGTCATAGGCGAACAATGGTGCCATGGATCAGTGGCAATGCTGACATTTAATCCTTTAGAATATCACTGATTACGTTCTATTATTAAGGCATGGTGAAGGTTCTGCAAATGCATAGGAAAGTTTGATGGCTTTCTGCTGTTGACAAACCATAAAACCCATTACTGTCAGGCAGCCAGGGCGGCAATTCTGCGCAGACACCTGTGCCACGATGCTGCCTCTCAATGCCTTCTTCACAGGTTCTTCACAAAGATGATGGGGGCATGGTGTCACATGAGATTCTTTTCCATTGGTCATTTTGACTTCCTTGATAGTAGCTGTTTTTTTCTTACATCTATCAGAGGATATGTGAGAAAGCAGATGGGAACACAGTGGATAATTCTGTATATTATGCACCAATAGGCACATTAAGGCACAAGGTAGAGCCGGGTTAAAGTGGATCCATCACTTTACAGGACTTTATGCATGTGTTTGTTGTGAGGCCTGAAAAATTAAATTAAACATAAAGATCTTTCCCTCTTTATACTGCAATGGGCACCTCCATCTTTGCTCCGTCAGCCACTGTAACCAGCTCTGTCCTTTGCACCTGGCAGTCAGTATAGATTGATGAGGAGATAGTTTGTGTTTCATTGGGATTATACAAAATAATCTACAGTTTGAAGTTTGTTTTTATTCACCACAATTCAGATTAGTGTTCAAAGTGAATTGAAATTGTAAAATGTAATTGACACTATAGTCACCAGAACCACAACAGCTTAAAGTATATGGTGTACAGTTTAATGTGTCTATAGCCTGTCCCTGCACGCTTTTTAATGTAAACACTGCCTTTTCTGTGAAAAGGCAATGTTTACTTTCCTGCCTAGTAAAACCTCTAGGTGCAGTCACTCAGGTGGCACTAGAGGTGATTCCTAGTCCAGTGCTGCACTACCAATATTCAGAGTTGCCACGCTCTGATTCAATGCATCTCTGCAAGGAAATGCTTATTGTTGCAGCACAAAGTTGTACTGCGCATGCTTGCAATGGGAAACCATTGGATTGGCTGAGATCGTCAAGTTTGATAATCTCAGCCATGGAGGCTGAGTCAGCCAGAGCCAGCCATGGTAAGACCGACGTAGCGTGGGAAAAAGGTGAATGCAATCACCTTTTCAAAGCATTGCAAGGTGGCCTGGGAACCCATATACCGTATATACTCGAGTATAAGTCGAGTTTATCAGCACATTTTTTGTGCTGAAAAACCCCAACTCGACTTATACTCGAGTCAATGTCTCTATTATGGAAACTTACATTGCCATTATACAGACAAGGCCCGCTGGGCTCATTACAAGCCCGGCGATCCTGTTGGGGGCTGGAAGAGAGCTGTAACTTTCCTTCAGCTCCTGTCAGCTCCCTTCTCTCTCCTCCGGTCAGCTCCCTTCTCCTCCACTGTAAGTCTCGCGAGAGCCGCGGGGTCAGAGCGTTGCCACGGGTTACCGTGGCAATGCTCCGCGCTGCACTCACACCGCAAGACTTGCAGTGGAGGAGAAGGGAGCTGACCAGACTGGAGGAGAGAGAAGGGAGCTGACAGGAGCTGCAGGAAAGGTAAGTAACAGCTCTCTGCCAGCCCCTCTCCTACACAGCTCATGCCACTGGACCACCATATAAATACAAATTTAAACAATAAAATAAGAAATGTAATAACATTAAAATAATAATAATAATAAAAAAAAATGCTCTGCATCACATACACACACTGCACTCATACACACACACTGCATTCATACACACACACTGCACTCATACACACACACAAACACTGCATTCATACACACACACACACTGCACTTATACACACACACTGCACTGCATTCACACACACACACACTGCATTAATACAAACACACTGCATTATACACACACAAACACACTGCATTCATTATATACACACTGTAAATAAATATTCAATTAATATAATTTTGGGGGGATCTAATTCTATTTAGAAATTTACCAGTAGCTGCTGCATTTCCCACCCTAGTCTTATACTCGAGTCAATAAGTTTTCCCAGTTTTTTGGGGTAAAATTAGGGGTCTCAACTTATTTCGGGTCAACTTATACTCGAGTATATACGGTAGTTAGTTTAATATTATAGTGTCAGAAATACATGTTTGTGTTCCTGACTCTATAGTGATCCTTAAACCAAAAACAGCTATTTACAAAACATTCTCCAACAGCTGTATCACTGTTTGGCTATTTTATTCTAAATCTTCCGAATCAGGTTTTCAGTTCACCAAAATTAAGCCTAACGTAAATACATTCCACATAATGAATGCCGCCCTCATGTTGGGTACAGAGTAACTCCTGCTTGCCCAGGTGAATGTTGGCAGACCTCTGTGAAGTCAGATTACCCCACATGGTAACACAATCCCAGCTGGACCCCCCCACATGGTAACACAATCACAGCTGGACCCCGCCACAGGGTAACACAATCACAGCTGGACCCCCACTGGGTAACACAATCACAGCTGGACCCCCCACATGGTAACACAATCACAGCTGGACCCCCCCACAGGGTAACACAATCCCAGCTGGACCCCCCCACAGGGTAACACAATCCCAGCTGGACCCCCACTGGGTAACACAATCACAGCTGGACCCCCACATGGTAACACAATCCCAGCTGGACCCCCACATGGTAACACAATCCCAGCTGGACCCCCACATGGTAACACAATCCCAGCTGGACCCCCCCCACTGGGTAACACAATCCCAGCTGGGGGGTCCAGCTGTGATTGTGTTACCCAGTGGGGGTCCAGCTGTGATTGTGTAACACAATCACAGCTGGACCCCCACATGGTAACACAATACCAGCTGGACCCCCACTGGGTAACACAATCACAGCTGGACCACCAACAGGGTAACACAATACCAGCTGGACCCCCACTGGGTAACACAATCACAGCTGGACCCCCACTGGGTAACACAATCACAGCTGGACCCCCCCCCCCACATTGTGTTACCCAGTGGGGCGGGGTCCAGCTGTGATTGTGAAAACCAGTGGGGGAGGGGGTCCAGCTGTGATTGTGTTAACCAGTGGTGGGTCCAGCTGGTATTGTGTTACCCAGTGGGGGGGTGGGGGTCCAGCTGTGATTGTGTTACCCAGCGGGTGCTTTGGGGAGGATTTGCAAGATAAGAGGGCTTTCTGTTCTCAGTAATCCTGGCTTTTGTTTTCTTGAACATCCTTAACCCTGCACCTCCTTTCAATTGATTTAACATGCAAAGCCCCATAATGTCTGCTGTGAATCCCTCAGCAGTTGATCAAAGCCTAGCTCTGGGCTGTAGCCCCTCCTTGTTCGCTAGACTTGTCTGCTCTGCCTGAGTAGCTTTTCTTGCTGTGTAACCCTCTAGTTACCGCACACAAGACAGCTATGTTACTGTACCAAGAGAATACACAGCCTCCAAATATCTCTCCATCATAGAAAAATATCCACTGTGTTCAACAAATGTAACCTTTTACTCTCTATAGTAAAACATTGCACACATTTCTATTTCGATAATTCTTGCCGTCGCTCCTGGTATAAAATAAATGCACCCATCTCTAAGAGGGCAAATTAAATGTACAGGATTATAATAGGGCAGTTAGGGCCATTTCAGGGAGGTAGCAGAATCTCTATCCCTCTTTAACCCCATTAACTGCTACTCACAATTCTTATTAGAATATCGGGTTAAAAGGAATGAGTACTCCACATTTATCAATATAATTAAAGAGTCCCAATGGGATATAAAACCCATTGGTTTATTCACTAAACAGTGCATTGTAAAGATATGAGAAAAGTCAAAATAGGCCGGCTGGAACAAATCTCCACTTAGCTACTTTTACTATTCTGCTATATTGGCTGGAAATGTACAATTCACTTTTCATCTCTCTGCAGATCACAGTTTAGTGAATATGTCTCATGCCTGCATGGAGGTGAGTCTTAATGCAATAACTCCCAAAAACTGCATACCAATGAGAGCAAACATGAAACCATATTTACACTAATTCTGTTACGGACACGGCTCCACTTTGTTTTATTGTTCCTCTAGAATTGTGAACAAAACTGGGTCAGCTGAGTTCATTATTCTTGCTGTTTGCTATGGGATTAAATAAAGTATTTTGTTAACTTTGAACTTGACCTATGATTAAGTGCTGCTTTGGAGCGGAGACAATTAATGTTTGTGTTGGAAGGACATACATGTTTGTTGTTTTGTTGCTATAATATATATATATTATATATGCTATATGATGCTTTTATATTTTCAGCAGTACAATGCTCTTAAAGGGACACTATGGCCACCAGAACCATTACAGATGAATGTGGTGGTGTTGGTGCCTATATCCTGTCCCTGCCGGCTAGGCACTGTAAATGCTGCTTTTACAGAGAAAAGGCAATGTTTACATTGCTGCCTAGGAACACATGTAGGTGCAGTCACTCAGACAGCCACTAGAGGTGCTTCCTGAGGCAATGCTGCACAGAATATAGCACTGACATACCCCGTCTCCATGCCCTGCCTGGAGGCACTGAACGTTCCCCATAGAGGTGTACTGATTTAATGCATCTCTATGAGGAGGTGCTGATTGGCGCAGTGTGGAGCTTTTCCGTGGGACAACAGGTGAATAACATCACCATGTTACTGCAGTTGGAAGGGGGCTGATCACCTAAACACCCACTCCAGGACTGTAGTGTCAGGAATACATGTTTGTTCCCTTAATATGACTGTGCAGTCAGTCTGCTAGAATGTGTTGTTCCCATGCTTTATTGGCCGTGTTTGGTACAGACTCCATCTCCCCTGCAAACAGTATATGCATGACCGTTTGGTTTCTCTATAAACCAAACTTTTTGAAATTTGAATGTGCAATCCTCAAATATGCTATGCATACTATCTGTCTGTCTGTCTGACTGTCTGTCTATATATCTATCTGTCTGTCTACCAATCTGTACATGTGTGTGTGTCTGTCTGCCTTTCCATAGAGTTATCTAGTGCACTGTATTCTGTGTGATACAATGTGTCACTAATCCAAACCTAGAGAATGATAAAGGGTTTAAGGAAGTAGATAGTCTGTGGAAGGAACAGAGCTTCACAAATTGTAGCCCTACGTTAGCGATACTAGCTTTCCATCATCTCACTCATTCACTCACCAATTCAGTTTTGTTTCTCTGGATTGCAACCCCCTTCACAGATTACTGTTTCCATCCAGGACCAGAATTATATTATCTTTCTGAAGTGGTTATAGTTTTGTGTATGCCATCAGTCAGCTAGCTAGAATACTCTTTTCCTGGTTGTCAGCGATCGTAAAACCAGACTTTGGGGTATATATGTGCTTTTATTATATTTTATAATACATACGTACACACATTTTAAGAGAGTTGCATGTCATTGCACTTACGGATTAAGTAACATATAAGCCACCATTACAATATTTTGTTGTGCGCTGTTCACTCTATTTGTTTGCTGAGCGTCACTTTAATATTTATTGCACTTTGTAAAAGTGCCACGTATTTCACTTTAGCTGTTCGCGTACTCAGTGAGATTGTGGCTGAAATACATGTGCGTTCGAAAATTTAACATATGCATCTTTTGTAGTAGGATAGTGAGACTACGACTCACTAAACAGTTTCCATGGACTATTACGCCAATCAAACTCATCCAGTGGTTTTTCCACAATAGGTTTTTAAAGAAAGCCACCATTTTAATGGACACCTGCAAATGAATACAGTATTCATTTAGTGTTAGGAGTACAAAGATCATATTGCATGCTGGGAGAAGGGAGATTGTCTTTCACCCCTTGTCCCCTAGACTGGCATATCAATTACAGATTACAGATTACAGCTGTGTTGGTTTGCTGCTGAAATAAATCAGTTATCCTTTATGTGTCAGGGCTTCTGCGAGTTCTATGGCAGGTACAAGAGCCCTTTAAATGCCTCCAGCTGATGACCCAATATATTAGAACATTTGTAATGTGTGGTTCCCCCGACATGTTAAATGGCTGGCCGAGGCCGGACCCCCAAGCTCCGCTCTGTAATCCTTGATGATGTGATGATGATGTAAAGGAGCCGTAGGCCATGTTTGTCTTCTTATACAGAGAAGGGTCGCTGGAATTGCGCAATAAACAGTTAGGCTGCGGCAGCGATGTATAGTTTCTCTCTAATAAGCACTCACTCAGTGCCGTTTATTCACTAAACAGAGAAAAGTCCTGAAAGTATTATTTCATTTTTTATCATTCATTTGGTTTATTAAAACTAAACTTTTTAATATAAATGTAAACAAAAATCTAGCATGCTGAAGTGGTTATGGTGCTTGGAGTGTCCCTTTAAGGACTATAGATGCTTATTTAGCTTTTGCAGTTCTGTATAGCCTGACTACCGTTAAAGCAGTGGAGTACTTCATTTTGATGCAAGATCGTTAAATGCCAGTTTGCTGTGACGGAATATCCCTCCAACAATGCTTTCTGTAGTGTAGTTACACTTTTACCTCTTTCTAATTTTTTCACAGTTGTCCTTTGCAGTTTTAGACCAGAATATGTGAAGTCATGCAGCTCCACTACCCAGAATTCCTTCCTTTGCCATTTTAGGATGATTACGATGTTGCTGATTGCTAATAAAAATTCCTTTTAGAGCTGAAATCAAATTTCTCGCTGCAAATAGAGCCGTGCAGGGTTGCGATTAAAATAATGGCCCTGCAATTCCTCTGATTAAGACACCTATCCTTTTTCTGGTTTTCATGTTAATCATAGGCTCAAATTTTATTCTCAACCTGACTTTCTGTTAAGAGCGACACAGATTGCCTGCAGTCACCCAATGCTTGCGCGGTGAAAAGAAACAAAATATTGTATTTTGGATATCGGATAGTGTCAGGAAAACCTTTATGGCATAAAATCAAACCAATAGAACAGGCAATATCCAGGTTTTATTTTAAATAAACTAATATTGAACCTTTATTCATGACATCATTTAGAGATAAGAAATGTGAAGTTAGATGTTTAGGGTTATTTTCTAAATGGAGAATTGTTCAGAAATCAAAGTGAATTCGAAGCAAATTTATAATTTAGCACCAAAGTAAGAAAACTAAAAATATATCTGACTTTTTAGTAAATTGCCCTGTTTGTTTTTTATGCAGTGTTTTTTTTTTTTGTTTGTTTTTTTAAAAAGATTTTATTGAAGTGATGTCAGTTTGTTACAGTCAGAAAAGGCCAACGGGAAAAGTCCATTTGACCAGTAACATGTTACAGAATAGAGCATGAATAGACAATGTATCAACACTTGTATCAACATTTAACAACATGGGGTAGGTGTGTTGCAGTGTGGGTGGCAATGGGAACATCTCAGGCTGTAGATTGCATGAATCGTAACCAGGGTTCCCAGGTGCGGGTGTAAAAACCGTATGTATGTGATAGGGAATATGTCATTTCTTCCATGTGTCTCACAGATTCCATTCCCTGAATCCATTCCCTGATCGAATGGGCTGAGGGTCGTTTCCAGCAAAGTAGTATAAGCAGGTTGGCTGCGGTGAGGAGGTGATTAAGCAAGATACGTTGAGACCTATCGTGGGAGTGAGAAATAAGAGGAACAGCATAAATTTGGGTGTTTAAGGGATGTGTATGCCTGTGATCGTGTGGATGAGTAATCCGATTCTATCCCAACCATGTTTCGTGGGGCATAGCCACCAAATATGGCCTGGTATGCATCTAGATTGGAGGCATTTCCAGCATGTGTAAGACGTTCCAGGGAAGAATTGGCGTAGTCGCGTAGGGGTGTAATGCCATCTCGAGAGTCTTTTGTAGTTTCCTTTGCGGGTGCTATTACTAATAGATGATTTGAAGAGATTGGAGAAGATTCGCTTTCAATCCTT